GTTAACCGTCGAAAAATGAAAACAAGCGCTAAGACACCCGGCGTACCGAGGCGAGGGCAAGCCGATCGTCAGAACGACCGCAGCTATGACGGTCGAAACATCGCCGCAAGAGCGAGACATCCTGACGGAGATCGCGAAAATCCTCGGCGAGGACGACGAGGAGTACGATCCGGCCAACCCCGGGATCGGGCAAGGATGAGCCACCCTTTACCGGGGCGAGCCCGAGACGGCACCACCACCGCCGCCTCCGGCCAAACCGATTCCGCCGAAAACCGTGCCGAGAATTGGCACGATCATTCAGCGGTCCGATGCGACGAATCGGGCGAAGCAGGCCTGGCTTCTGGCACCGCCGCCACCACCGCCACGACGCCCATGACCACTGGTAGAGGCCCCCCGACGACCACGGCCGACGCTCCAACCCGCACGGGTGATGGGGCCGCTACCCGCACCTCCGATCCCGGTTCAGGTCGAGCCCGGGGTGATAGTAGAGGTCCCACATTTTTTGTGCCATGTCGCCCGGCAATATAAATCTACGATCGGCGGATCGCGTTACAATCGATAAATTCGCGATTGACCGTTGGTATCGCGAATTTCCACTGCCTCACGTCGCGGTTCTAGTTTCGCATATTTCGCGCGTCCTCTCCTATCTATCGACGGTTGCTCGATGGTAATTGCCACATATTAATGCCGTTTCCCTAATCAAACCGTCGCGTGTATCGTCAGATTGCTCGGTCGATCGTCCACTTCGCGTGGTCGCCATTACCCCCAGTTGGAGGCCGCTGTCGCGTTTCCCGCCGGACAGGTCAACTTTATTATGCCCTCCGTAAGTCAAGCCAGCTGATCCGGATTCTGTTGGATCATCGGACCGGTTGTTACGCTCGCCATGCCGATCGCTTATGCGTTTCGACGTATAATGGATTTTCCCTACTTTTGTTCTAGTGACGGCTTCGCCCCGGAATTTCCCAGAGGTCTGATATTTGGTAGGCATGTGTTCCCAAGTGTCCCGAAGTAATTTTCATCATGCTGACGGTTTCGCCCCGGATTCGCGATAATGCCAATTTACCCCCGCTACTCACGGATCTTTTCGTATCGTCGCGTAATCTTTCTCGCGTGATTATCGTTTATTATATTCGCGTTGTCAACTTACCTCTGACTCTACTAATCCGCGTTATTCGTGACGGATTTTTATTTCCCGATGAATTTACATTGTTTTATGGATCGAGCTTGCTAGCTCTTAATCTATTTTCGCATCTTTTGAATCCTTTCGCGTGAATCTACTTTTCATTTTGTTAATCGATGTATTCGCGTCCTAATTCGTCGATCGTCTTCTTCTCTCTCTATATCTGTGGAAGAAGAACTGGGAAATGAGGATATGTCCAATTTTTTCCAGGTAAAAGGTTCTTTAATCGTTAATCATATTAAGACCTTTCTTAATCTTCTCATTGAAATAAACGTTTTTTTTCTTATGATTCCGTCGCTCGGATTTCTTCGAATCGGTCTAAACCGTGAAATTAACTTTCTTAATCTCGCACGCCGCTTATCAATCGTCGCTCGCGCATTTGCCCCGGAATCATAGCTTTCATCTTTCTTATTATCTAAGTCTATATGTTATCTGATTATGTTTTTATATTTATCTTATTACTATGTGTCTATAGTCCACTAATATTGTTTCTGGTTAATATATATATTTTTATAACGCATTATTTACATTTGTTTCCTTTTTTTGGTTTTACAGATTCGCGCACTACAATCGCTCAGCGATCGTCTCCGCATCTCTGATCGCCGCAAGGACGATTCGTTTACGCGCCTCCTCCGTCTCGTTCGGGCTGCCACGTTGATCTTCCGCGATGATGTCCTTGGGTAGTTTCGTGGATTTTCGCACCTTCTGCTTTTCTAACATCGGTTGTGCGAGTACTCAGTAGTCGGTTATGGTCGGCAATTGTCTCTGCTGCAGCTGCTCGTGCTCGGATGCAGCCGTCGGCTGCAACCTTCGGGTTCCTACTTCCCGGGGCGTTGGTCGTACGTTATCGACCTCGGTATTTTTGTGTTCGCCAGGTGACATCAAACTTGCCCACAGCTTTCGCATTCGCGTATCACGCACCGTTCGCTATTTCCGCGGGCAGTGACTCTAGGTGGGTGGCGCCTCGGTATTCGCGTCCTACGGACTTGCCCGAAGCCGATCGTGCCCTTGGCTATCGCGTAGGGTATCCCGTTTGCTACTTTGCGGGATAATGGTCTGCCATTGATGGGAGTGTGCGCGTTAGATTCGTCGTGACTTCCCGAAGCCATTGGTACCGTTTGTCCTCGTAGAAGATGCTTGGTTCGCTACTTCGCGGACCTGGTGCGCTATCGATATGGAAATTGCTCTAACACGTATACCAGGTGTCCCGGAGTCGATTCGCGTTGAGTAAGTTTTAATTTCGCGTTTATCTTGTAAACTACGCGTTAAATCGTACAATTAGTCACGGGATCTTATTCTTCGGCTCGCGCTGAAGCTATATTCGAAAGTAGTTTTTCACTTTCGGGAATCCTTTTTTCTGAGTCCCAGGAGTGTGTCCATAACCTTAAAGTGTCGCTTTTGTCCTCTATTACGCGTTTCTCTTAATCCTAACCTCGCTCGCGTAATGGTGGGTATTAAAGGAGGTATTGTTAGGAAATATATATTTTTATTTATACAAAATAAACGTTTTCTTGACTATATGGCGGATCAGTCTTTGCTGACTAGTGATGGCGTTCAACGCCTAAACAATTCGTACGCGCAATATGGCGCTGAAACGGAAACTAAATGCTCTGCGCAATATGGCGCTTAAACACAAACGAACAAACTTAATATGCACAAGATGGCGCCTAATGAAACTAAATTCTTGTGCGCAACATCGCGCTGCCTGATTGGCTTTCGCTTATGCTTCTCGTCCCGCGGAATGTCGCCGGTAATTGTTTCCCCTTCGTCGGCGCCATCTTGGGGATGGTCCTCTGTGGCGGCGGTGATGCACATGCACATCCTGGTGTGCTGCACCTCCATCGTCAGATCATGTCTTTGGAGCACCACCGTTGGTATACCGTGCTTCATCCGCGCCATTTTTTACAAAATGGCTACTGGCACCGATAATGGCGGCTCGATGCAGGTGATGACCGGGCCTTGCCTAGCCATCGGCTGCAAGGGAAGGGTTTCAAGGACCAGGGAAGGAGGATTAGTGAGGAGATATAGAGGAGATGAAAAAATAATTCAGGGATCAGGAGAAGAGATGGAGAGAGGAGAGAGAAAAACTAAAAAAGGGGAAGGAAGAAATGAAGGAAAGGTTAAGACGGCTGAAGGAAAAAGTAGAAGGGAGAAAGGAAGAGAAGGGGGAGGAACGAAGCGAGAGAGTGGAGGTGGAGAGAAGGCTGGAAAGGAAGGAGAAGGAGGAAAGAAGAAGAAATATAGTGATAAGGGGGTTAGAGATAAGAGGAGGTGGGAGGAAAGAAGAGGCAGAAAAGCTACTGGAAAAAATAAGAGCTAAAGTGAAGGCAATAGAGGTGAAGAGAATAGGGGGGGACGCGGAAAAGGGAAGGGAAATGGTGCTGCTGAAGTTGGAAAACGAAGAGCAAAAATGGGAGGTGGAGAAAAAGAAGTTGGAAGTGGAGAAGTTGAGGATAGAGAAATAAGAATGGAAATGGGGGAATAAGAAAGATTGAGGATCTAGGGGAAGAATTAGAGAATGGCATTATAGTGCGTTCGGGGAGACGCTATTAGCGCTACCTAGCGCTACTGGCTGTTCGCGGAGCTCTATGATAGCGCTACCAAATGCTGTCGTGACGTCATTACTGGTAGTGTTATACGTCATAACTGTTCGCTACCAACGCTCTTCCTTCCGAGGTAGTGCATTAAAAGCGTTAGCGTTTACAGGCTCTATGAACAGCGCAATAGTGAATGGTAGTGAATTGTTGTGATTGTTTATTTGAAGAAAAAGCTTTGCGTGTGCACACGTATTGTAAATATCGTATTAATCACAAAGTTACTGTTTGAGATCGCAACTATGCGGATTATAAAAAAATCGCGTTCGATTGCATGTCAGCGCAAGCACTCTTTCCATAAATTAATCGACTAACTAATTGTGCTTCAAAGGAATAATTTTCGTCACGTTATAGCATGGATCTTTCGTTACATGCCGGAAAGTTGCTAATTGTTAGCAATAATACAGCCACGGCTGACCGGTCGCGCAAATAAAGTCAAATAACAACGCTAGAACAAAGGAAAAATCCATGTTATAAACAGAGCACGCAAAAACAAGTGACGACCCCGTTGGGTCGCCACGTGAAACCGGTGACGTCAGCACTATGACGTAGGGTTCCGACGGCCAATCACCCTCCCGAAATTCTGGGAAATCTGCCGGGAGGGAGTTTTGGAGGTGTTAAAAGGACCGCCGCTGCGCCGCGGAATCGATTTCGCTCGCAGATCATCCGCCTAGTATACCGATACGACCGCTAATACACCGCTTTTCCAAACCACTTTTCGCATAGATAGTCGCACGCGCTTGCTTTTACCGCTTTGCCGTATAACGTCTGTGCGCGCTCACGGCTTCTTTTCCTTCGCTGGAAAGAAATAGATCGGAAAGACTGTACATATTGTAAATACGTTTTCTGAATACACATTTATTTTTCTGTTACTTGCTGTGTTGTTACTTGTGATCGTCTCGTTACCTCGCGCTACACCGCGCTACCGCGTGCTCTCGAACAGTTACAAATACGGATTATATAGAAACAGATATAATAAACATATATATATATATAATATATTGTTACGCTCGTCGAGTAAGCTCGCCGCCGTAGCACTATCGCGCACTCCACACTCACGCACGTATTCCGCGGAACTCACGAAAGGAAAGAGAACTCAAAAGAACTTAAGAAATGCGTTTATTCCAAGCTCGTAAAACAGAACGCGTGCGGATTCCAAAAATCCGCAAGACAGAAAATTAATAAATGTATAAACAAACTCCCATTGTCAAGGAGCGCGCTTCACAGCTTTCCGCGACTTCTCTACTCAGTGTCCAGCACGGACGTAACACCGCCCCCCTCTTCTTTAGTTGTCGGGACGACAACTAGAGGAAAGTTGCAAGCAGTTTCTTTCTTTCAGATTTTCGGGAACTTGAAACGCTTCCTGCTCTACCTCGAGCTAAGCTGCGAGTTAACGAGCTTCGTTTCTTCCCTTAATTCAAAAAATGTTTATTTCCACGTGTGAACCTCTTCAACGTCGGCTTTCCTTCTGCTACCAGCGCTGTCCTCTTGAGAATCTTCGGACTGGAGGGGGAAGCTTTCGTGGACCCTGCGTCTCGCAAGACTCCCCAGTCCCCGCCTTGGCATTTGCCCTAAGTCCCACGGAAAAACCACGGTCAAAAACTGTGGACAAGGCGGTCTTTTTTCAGCTAATATCTTCGCCTGATGTTGTTCGGCACCATCTTCTCGGAGAAGTAACAACAAAAGAAAAGTATCTTTTTCTTAAAACCTAAAAACTAATTGAATGAATTGAAATTTTTTTTTAGGCTCCGGATAAAAGTCGTGATTCGAAAGGAATTACTTTTCATAAAAAGTTGCTAATCTATCTAAATGAACAACTTTGTTCTTATGCCGTTTAGACCTACGAATGCAATAAACGACATCATTTATTCTTTTAACGACTTCAAAAGGACCTTCCCAATTACTTTGTAACTTAAAAGTTATTCCTATTTTCCTTCGAGAATTAAATAACCAGACTTTTTGCCCAGGCTCATAGCATAATTGTCTATCCTTCCGATCATAAAGCGCCTTGGCTTTTTGAGACTTAATTTCCATACGTTGACATACAATGTTATGAATGAGATCCATTTTTTCTTTCAAGTGACGGAAATATTCTCTTT